AGGTCTCAAGCAAAGATTTCCTGGATGACCAGCCTTCCAAGGGAACTGGGGTTTGCTTCGATGGCAGAAGGAAGAAGGGGAAGGACAAACAGTTAAACCAAAAATCTCATACTGGCAATTTGGAAAGCAAAAAATCAAACCAAATCATCAAAGCCCACGATTTGGAAAGCAAGAAAAACCTCCCTTTTCTTTCTTGTTTTTACCCCTTTTCCCTCTTGTCTTTAACCCTTTTCCTTCTTGTTTTTACCCCTTTTCTCTCTTGTCTTTAACCCATTTCCCTTTTGTTTTTACCCCTTTTCCCTCTTGTCTTTAACCCTTTTCCCTATTGTTTTCACCCCTTTCCCCTCCGGTTTTTACCTCTTTTCTCTTATTTTTACCCCTTTTCTCTCTTGTCTTCACCCCTTTTCTCTCTTGTCTTTAACCCTTTCCTCTCTTTACCCTCTTTCTCTCGTCTTTACCTTTTTTCTCTCTCATTTTTGCCCCTTTTCTTTCTTGCTTTTACCCCTTTTCTCTCTTGTTTTTACCCCTTTTCCCTCTTGTCTTCACCCCTTTTCTCTCGTCTTTAATCCTTTTCTCTCTTTACCCTTTTTCTCTCTCATTTTTGCCCCTTTTCTTTCTTGTTTTTACCCCTTTTCCCTCATCTTCACCCCTTTTCCCTCTTGTCTTCACCCCTTTTCTCTCGTCTTTAACCCTTTTCTCTCTTTACTCTTTTTTTCTCTTGTCTCTACCCCCTTTCCCTCTTGTCTTCACCCCTTTTCCCTCTTGTTTTTACCCCTTTTCTCTCTCGTTTTTACATTTTCCCTCTTGTTTCCCCAGGGGTTTCTCTCCTCCCCAACTGTGCTGTCTGGGGGAGCCAATGCAAACTGCTGAGACACGTTGGTGTCACTGAATTTTCCTGTTAAGCCCAGAAGAAGCTTCAAGCAGAAACGTGCCCTGGGCTGGTTTTTGTGCTGCTCAGGTTCTTCCCTTTGCTGACACATCTTGCCACCCTCAGCAGCCCACGGTGCCCAGCAGGAGAGCTCAGGCCTTTCTGAGGAGCCTTCAGCTGAGCACTCACACCCAAAATCATCTGTCAGTGCTGAAAATCTCATCTCATTACATTTTAAACAGCCAGGACCAGACAAAGGCAGCATTATTAGCCTGGCTGTACACGGGGGAAATGAGGCAGAGAAATTCAAATTTACCCCAAAGCAGAGCAGCAGCCTCTGACATGGCAAGACAGCAGGGCAGGCTCCTGTTGGGGAGATCCCCCTGTCTGGGGATGCTCCTGCCCTCACACCTCTCAGCCCCTATTCCTGGGCAGGGGCAGGAATAAGAGCAGCAGCAAAGAAAGGACCAAACCCAGCCCCAGCAGAGAAATCCCAGCCCTCTCTGTGCTGCAGAGCCCACTCAGTCATGAACCAACGTCCTCATGTTGCACTTATTAAATAAATCTAATCTTATTAAACTGCATTACAAGCTTTTATTTCATAAATCTGTGTGCCTCCCCGAGCAGGCAGAGAATTAACTCCTGCCTGGGCTCTGCCTTTCCCCACTGTGGCCTTGCAGAAGGTGCTCCTGGCAAACCCCCCATCCCCAATCCCACTGCAGCTCCAAGTGCTTGGGATGGGTCCCATGGGGGATGGAAACATCCCAGATGCTGCTTTAACACCCCCTAAACTTGGTGCTGCTCTTTCAAAAAGAGTACAGGTTGCATCCCCTCCAACACGTGCTTTATACACAGAAATATTTGTCTAAAATCACCCAAAAAGCCTCTTGTGATGAAATCACAGGGTGTCAGTAACTCCTGGAGGGGAACAGGACCACGAGGTCAGATCTGTGACATCCTCAGATGCTGTGACATCCTCAGCAAAACAGCCTTTCCTGCCCTGGGGTGCTGGGATTTTGTTTGAATGATCTGAGGTCAAGGCGAAACGATTTGTTAAATAAACTTCAGTGAATGGAAATGTAAAATCTCAGGCCTCCATCCAGCAGGAAACATTTCATCTAGGGGCTGAAATGTTTTTTAACTTTTTTAATGAAACTTTTTTTAAAGTTGACTTGCACTTTTTGTAGGATCAAAGGAAATATTTGCCTAGAAAGATGTTCTGACTTCAAAATGCACTTGTTTAAGATCACTATGAATATTTTAACCCTTTAAAAAAATTCTCTCTCAAGCATTTTGACAAAGGGCTCAAGTGCATTTTGTCTCAATAGATAGGTTTATATTCAATACATACCTGTGAAGTGCTCAAATCCATTTGGGCTCAGTAGATAGGTTTATATTCAATACATACATGTGGGTAAAGAATATCCAGGATTTAATGCTCCACACTCCCAGGTCTGAGCCCCACAACAGGCAGAATCCTCCCCGGGTCCATTAGAGCCTAATTAGTTTTTAATCTGTGTTTTTCCAATCTCCCAGAGATAAAACAAACAAACAATCTCCCTACAATTACTCCCCATTTTCTTTCTCAAACAGAAGCCAAGAAATTCCCATTACAGAGGGGAAATATGCACAGAAATATTTCCTGTTTGCTCGGCAGAGCAGGGCAGGGGACTGGAATCTCGAGGTTGCTTTGGCAGGTATGTGAAGCACTCACTTGAGTGAGTCTTTACAAGCAAACCAGTCCCCTTTAGCAGCTTGTTCTGTTCCACCCTGCACACCAAAGCCTGGCAAGAGAAGCCTCAACATCACCTGTCTGGGGAAGGAAAACTCAGGTTCCCTGCTTGGTGACCTCTGGCACCATCAGTCCCTCCACCTGTGCCTAATGAGTGCCAGTAATATTAATTACCTGCAACTGATAGAGTCCTTAATTCCTTAATGAGTAGAGACTCATTTCAAAGAACAAAAAGACACAATAACAAGATGAAATTATTTGAGAAGTCTGCTGCGCCATGCACTAATTAATCAGCACCTCAAAAATCAGGTTCGAGGAATATGAGTGTTGATATTTGCTGATAAAAAACATGTGCACAGCTCAGCACCAAGCACAGTGTTCCCATCGTCCGAAAATCCAGGAAAGTCCAGACAATTAGGAAAAGCAGGATTTTAAAGCCCAGTATTCCCATCATCTGCAAATCTGGGAAAGTCCAGTCAACTAGGAAAAGCAGGATTTTAAAGCCCAGTGTTCCCACCATCTGCAAATCTGGGAAAGTCCATCTAATTAGGAAAAGCAGGGTTTTAAAGCATATAATTTTTCAAAGGGTCTCTCTCAGTTCAAGGCAGGACACATAGGATATATTCACACTCTCTTACATTAACAAACAAAATTCAGGTTAAGGCAAACCTTGAAAAATGTTCCACCAGCACCTTGGGGGGGGAAATGTTCAGGTCTGGTAGAAAAGATGCTTTAACTGAGGATAAATTTCAGGCTGCTGGGAGGAAATGGTCACCACTAGGATTGGAAATGGTCACCATCTCTAGGAATAGTTAAGTTGGGAAGGTGGTTTAATTCTGTGTGGGGAACACAAGGAATGTGGTCTCTGGAAACCTGTCTCCTCACTGGAGGTGATTCTGAGTCTCTCAGCTGTGACTGTGCCCCCTCTGACCCCCCTTTGGTGGTACCTGGGCACGTGCACCCTTCACAATTAGGTGATTTTTGAGGTCATTTGGGTTCTGTTCTAAACAAAGGCTGTTGATGTGCCAGCAACCCCAAATTCCTGAGCTCCTTCTGCAGTTCTGGGGGAGTCCCCGCTCCTTTAACCGGGACGAGCCACTTCCCTTCCGTGGGACACTCAAAGGGCAGAGCCAGCAGTGACCTGCTGCTCCCCCCGAGCCCAGCACAGACCCACCCGCGCTGTCTCCTGTTTTCCACGGCGACAGCAAATCCCAGAGGGAGGGTGTGCTGGCAGCAGGAAAAAGCTGCCTTGTGTCCGGAGAGGGGATGCCTGGATGGCCCTAAAGGAGCACAAAGTCAGCCCTAAGAGCTGCTGGCTCTCCTTCACCTTGCACCGTCAACTCCCACCTCCCCAAAATGCCCGGCACTCCAAAGATCCGAGTGTTCAAAGCCCCCGGATCCCCCTCTTTGTGCGCAGAGCACAGATGGCTCGTTGCTGAGAGCGCGGAGACAAAAGGAAGGGAGCTCAGGCTCACAAAGGAACCCCCGTCCACTCAAGGGTTAACGGGGAAAGCGAGCCGTGAGGATGTTTGGAACAGCAGGGCATCAGCTGGAGCCCGCACGGAGCCTTCCCCACTGCCATTCATAACAAAATCAGGAGGCACAAAGTTACTATAGCAATGGGAGCAGAATGCAGCACTTGAGAGGGCAGGAGAGCCTGGGCAGACAGCAGAGCTCTGTGTGACACCCTTAGGGCTCTGGGTGACACCCTTAGGGCTCT